TTTGTAAGCAATTAGCGGCTTATTCTTAATTAAAAATGTCGACCATTGGGGATGAACGTTAACATCAAATGTAATTGAACTATTTTCAACTTTCCTACACAATGGTATTATTTTTATCAAAAAAAAACTTATATTTTATTTATTTTTATAATTTTTTAAAATTCTTTGTTAACTATTTATTTTCTATTTATTATTTTTGAGTTATTTATTTATTATTTTTTTTACCCAATAGTTACAAAAATAATATTCCAATGTGAAAGGAATATTATTTTTTTTTAAATTAAAAAAAAAAAATGAAAATAAATAATAAATGAATTGAATAAATAATAGAATTGTATAACAAATTTTGTAAAATGATTTATTCTAATGGAGTATAGTGATTTCTAAAGTAAACTAAATCCAATTTATAATTTTCATGCAATGGAGATCACGCTGTGCAATTCGAACACTGCCCCGTGATCAATAAACCATTGGCGAGAGCCAATATTAACAATCACCGAAATATGGCAGTAAATATTTGCTAACCATGCTGGGTCGGCATAGCTCAAGGATAGGTTTCGTATATGCATGCAGATGTGTCGTATTTGCCAAGAATTTTGTTCACGTTCCGACTGCATCAGTTTCATTCACCGAATTACCTGTTATTTGTCATCAGCGCGCATATATATATGTATATATATATATATAAATTTCATTCAATTTTAATTTTCTCTTCAAAAAATTTTTGGAATTTTTTCAATTTTTAGAAATATTTGGGATTTATTTATTCAAAAATTTTTTCTTTTTACCCTTTTACTGAATTAAAAAAAAGGTCATTAAATAGAAATAAAAATGACTAAAGATTCTATATTTTCCCAAAAGGGTTTTAAAGCCTTTTACTTTTTTCGCATTTTCGAGTATTTTTTTCTGCCCCCCTTCAAAATTTTGTGTATGTACAAAAATAGTTTTTCTTTCAATATATAAAGGTATACAAATCTACAATAGCTTTTGAGGTGTTTTGAAATTTTTTTTCGAAATTTCGTTAAAATGAAAATAAAGACATACCATGTCTATTCTGAAAAAAAGTAAAAAAATTTTTTTAAATTTTGTTATATTATTAAAATCATTTAAATTATTTTCAAATAATTAAAAAATTTTGAATTACAAAATTGATATTTAACTATTATTATTTTTTTTTTTTTTTTTTTGATTTTTGTGACAGGTGGCGAGAGAATGTCTTGATATTAAATTGAGTAATATACATGGTAAATAAAACTGTTGCAAGCGGAAGTGCGAAATCTCGACGGTCATACCTCACATAGCTTTATCGCTGTAAAAGTAACGTTTATTATTACACGCATCGGGGGTTCCGTCGCGAGCACGCGGAGTGAACATAAAAATAAATGGTAGAAAAGATAACGGTTAGCCGAATAGCCGAAACTCGTAAACTTTACAAGAGGGGTGGGAAAACGTTCTTCCCATGGCGTGTCATCTACAATTCCCATTTTCACCCTTTTTCTCCCCCTTCTCTATCCCTTTTCATCCCTGATACCCTTTTTCAAACGCCCGAAAAATTTCCGAGGGAATTTTCACCTTTTTTCTCTCTCTCTCTCACACTCTCGAATTTCATATATGTAAATATTATTTATCTCATCTAGACTCCAGTTTCTATATATATTAATCCCAAGAAAAAAAATCGCATTTTTCTCTTCATTTATCCTATATATATATATATATATATATATATATATATATATATATATATATATTTTACACCCAATGTCGCACCCTATTCTTTTGACGCGCTGATAAGAGAAATAAAAGAATATTTTCATCTCTCACACTATTGTTAAATCAAACGTAAATTGTAATTTGTATAATTTAATACAAATTTTCGAGGGTACATAAATTATACAATTTTATTTTTCCTCAAGTCAGTTACTTTTTTTAAATTATAAATTTTTAAATAAATAAAATTAAAATAGTTTGATTATTTAGATGTGTATTTGTTTTTGAAAATTTTTGATAAAAAGGTGTGGAATGGAATTTTTTTTTTTTTTTTTTTTTTTTTTTAGTTGACAGTCGCGCTACAATTTATATTTATATAAGGAGCAGTAGTGAACTTGTTTTCCCCGTTTTCCCTTCAATTTCAAACAAACTTGTGACTTTCATTCGCGAAACGAACCAAAATGTATATCGAAGTTCGTTTCAGGCAAGTCAGTTCCTCTCAAGGAAAATTTATTTAACGAAGCCTTTACCTTAGATCAAACGAAGCGCTCACTCTCTCACTCTCTCTTTCCATCTGACTTATCTTTGCCGCGCGAATGAATTACGCAACTTTTTGCCGCCCGATGCATAAAAGTGTATATAAAAAAAAAAAAAAAAAAAAAAAAAAAAAAAAAAAAAAAGGTATACATTTAATATTGGGACAACAATCTCGTTATCTATATACAATTATTTCCGCATGCTTAATATGTCCTTGGATGAGAAAACAGTCAAATAAAGTTGTAAAAAAAACAGTGCCGAGAAATAAAAAGAACAAAGTACTTTTGAATTTTTTTTTTTTAATTCATTTCTTTTTTTTTTAATTAATAATCAGTCCAATTTGAATATTTTTTCAGTTATTTTTCTATTAAAACTTAATTATTTTTTACTTATATTTAGCTACTTTTTACTAACAATTAGTTATTTTTTTCTAATTGCTGAAGCGAAAAATCAGTCAAGGTTTTACTAATAATTAGTTATTTTTAACTAATTCAGATTTAAAGTGTATTTTGTTTTATTTATTTTTTTAATATTAAATTATTTTAATAAATCAAAGAAATTTTTATTTATTAATAGTAATTCCAAATATTTTCATTAAATTTTTTTCCGGTGAAAAATTCTAAAAACCCGTTTGTATATTGTCTCGAAAATTTATTTAGCGGAGTTCGTGTTGAGGATTTAAATTTCACTGTAAAACTAGTGGTATTAATTTAATACCAATTTTAGGTACTAAATTGCCTTTTGGTTCTATTTTAATACCTAAAATCGGTACTATTTTAGTACCTTTTTTTTACAGTATTCTTTTTTTTAATAATTTTTTTTTATTTATTTATTTTTGTTTTATTCGTTTCAATATATTAAAATTTAGTTTTAATAATAATTTTAATCTATTTTCTTTTCTTTTTTTTCTTTAATATTAAAATATTTTTGATAATTCAACTAACTATTTAATTGTTAATAGCAAATCCAATTTATTTGAATCAAATTTGTTTCTGATGAAAAATTCTAAAAACACGCCTTTGTTTATTATCTTGAAAATTTATTTAGCTGAGTTTGTGTTGGAAGATTTGGAGCACTAATTACATAATTTGCTTGGAGTATATACAAGAGGCAGTATATGATGACTATTAACTAAGACAAAAAAAAAATAGTGTTATTTATGATGAACTCTTTGCAAGGGAGTCAGGTATCATTTTTTTTTTTTTTTTCACCGGAGGAATATTCAAATATTAGCAAGTTTAAAATTGTGAGCTCATCTCTCCTGTGATATACAAACACGTAAATGCTCGTTATATGCGCGAATTGTATAAAAAATAAGGTCATATACTCGCGGACTATATATATATAGAAGTTGAAATACATGTATACACAGATTCCTGTAGCAGCTTTTGCCGGCAGGGCAAAGGGAAATGGCATGAACGATAATTGCTATGATTCATGAAACTATGCGGCCATTTCCGATGCATTTATATGCATCGCAAATAACAAGGTCCCTATATACTGTATGCGCGCAGAGAGCAGCAACATAACATTAACTGCATTCTCTTCCGTTTGTCTAATCGAATGAAATTCGTCCCCTCACTTTTTTTACCCCTCCACTTTTTTCTTCTCTCTGTTGTATACTTGGCATTTAGAAACAGAAAAACTTCTTTTTCTCTCTTGAAATGATGACTTTTTTTTCTTTTTTTTTTTTTTTTAATAAGGCCATTTTCTTTCAGTTATAGTCGCGGCCATCGCGCTGTTAATGGTAAAAACGTTGAACGTTGGAAATTAACTTGTAAAGATGCAATTTTTGCATAGAAAAATTTTTATAAAAGGAAAAATTAAAATTAACTACAAGTTTTATTAATTTTCTTTTATTGTTAATTGCGGAATATTTATAAACAAAAATCCATTTATTATGTAAAAATTTTATTTTGCGAAAAGACTCGTTTGGCGAGAACCAAAATTTTACACTGCAAAAAGTTTTTACAGTAAAAAAAGAGAGTTAAAAAGTAGAATTTAAATCTTCAATTAAAATTAATTTTTTTTCAAAATTATTTTGAGAGTAGCTCAGCATCCGCTGGACCAATCAAAAAGTGCGCCATACACTTTTTTCTTCAGAACTTTCTTCTAAATTATTTGGCGGTATTCCCGAACAATTATCTCGCAAATTTAATTTTTTGTAATTTTTTCCTAATTTGTTTTCTAGTATAGCTCAGCATACGCTGGACCAATCAAAAAGTGCGCCATACATTTTTTGTTCAGAACTTTCTTCTAAATTCTTTGGCGGTATTCCCGAACGATTAACTCGAAAATTTAATTTTTCGACAATTTTTCAAAAATATCTTTGAGTGTAGCTCAGCATCCGCTGGACCAATCAAAAAGTGCGCCATATATTTTTTGTTCAGAACTTTCTTCTAAATTCTTTGGCGGTATTCCCGAACAATTATCTCGCAAAATTTTGCAAATTTACTTTTTTATTATTTATTTATTTTACATTACAATACATTAGTAAATAAATAAATAAGTAAATAAAGAAATAAATTATTAATTAAATAAAAATGGATTGGGAGAGTCTGCCTAAAATACACTTTTACTACTCATAGGGACGATTACAAGAATATAGAATAATTTAGTCTGACTATAACTTATTGTTTCTACTAATTATTAAAATTACAAGAATTTCAAGTGTCCTGTCTGACTGAAACTCGCTTTTACTACTAATATTCTAGTAAAATTCTAAAAATTTATGATTATTTTGTTTTTTGTTACAGATACCAAAAACAACAAGAATTTAAAACCTCGTCTGACTGAATATAAATTTTACTACTGATGCCAAAATTACAACAATTTGGTAAGTTCGATTTTTAATTTTCTTTTAATTTATAATATTTTTTGGAGACTATTGTCTGACTACAATTGTTTTTACTACTGAATTTAAATAGGAGAAAAAAGTAAAAAATAACCCGACTTAAAATATAAAATTTAATGCCCATAAATATATTTTTTTTTAGGTTTTACATAAGTAGAAAGGCGAAAAAAATATGAAAAATAGTTGCAGGCTTCTGCATTTTATTATTATTATTATTATTGTTATTATTATTATTATTATTATTATATTTTATATTTAATGTTAATTAAAATTTTTAATTAACATTCTTTTTAATATGTATAAAAAAAACCACTAGTCAATTTTTATTATTTCTTTGAGAACTATAGAAAAGCGCCTGGCTTTCCTCTAGACGAGCAACAAAGCTTCAAGACAGCTGCCTACATTCAGGCGTTCACCGCTTACTAATTGAAAATATAATGCAAGCAATTATTTTATCATTTCAGAATTTTATTCGCGAAATATTTAAAGAACCCAATTTATTATACATTGAAATACTTTTATTTAGAATTTAATGCGTATTTTTATGCGCATCTATAGAAAAATTATTGCTTCTTCGTTTATTGCAAAAATTATGTTAAATTTTTCTGTCTGTATTGAACCAGTTTTTTTCATTATAAAGTAATTTACATTTTAGAAGTGCATAATTTAGTTAGAATTTTCATGATGATAATAATAATAACAAAAATAATAATAATAATAATAATAATAATAATAATAATAACAAAAATAATAATAATAATAATAATAGTATGTTAAAATTTTATGGCGAAAATAGTTCATCTATCACACGTATAGTGTCCAATGTGTAGACTCAGGTGTTGCCTGCATGTGGCAGGCGTTGTAGTTTCAACTTTGTGCAGTTGCCGACCCTTTCGACGACGTTAATGCAAACGAACTTCAACCCCAAACGCACTCGTATCTCAATTAAATTTGTAAAATGTGATGACATTTCTTGACTGACATTTAACTTTATTAAAATAGATCACAATCAGAAGACTTATATATTACTGTTAAAGTTATGCATATATAAGAGAGATGTATATATATATAAGTTTGGGCATAAATTTATATATATACAAATTTGTCATTCAGTTGAACAATAATAATGTGTTCGCTCGGAAATTTAATTGAATTTGTGTCAAAATTACTTCAACTATAATTGAATCTTATTGATTTTCAATATATATATAGTTTCTTGAATATGTTGAATCTTTCAGTGTGATTATTAAACTTTCTATTAAATCATATGAAAGTCATGATCTTTTTTTGATTTACCATCAGAATGATTCTCTTTTTTTTTCTTTATTATTCTCATCATTTTCTAAATGTAAATTATTACTGCGTGAGTTTTTTTTATTTAAATGAAAATTAGGACTGAAAATTTTTTATTTTCATAATTCGAAAAACTAGTGTCTGACTAAAATTGACTTATACTACTGATATTGGAATTCGAAGACTTAAATTCGTGCTGTTTTACCAAAATTTACATTTATTAGAGAGTTTCCTATCAAAAAAGTATGAGGCAGGTTTCGAAAGGACGACAACATCCGACTTACAATGGACTAAAGTGGAAAAAAAATTTCAAAATTTTTTATTTTCGAGATACACTATCCGGAATACTACAAAAAAAATATCCCAAGAAATTTCCCAATATTCCAAGACAAAATTTATGGGGGCATTTTTTGATAAGACCAACAGTATCCGGTGTATGATGGACCAAAAGGGACAAAAAATATAGAAATTTTATATTTGCAAAATAATTTCTCGGAAATAACAGAAGATTTATTCCAAGATAGTGCTCTAAAAACATATATAAAGCAGTTTTCGAAAGGACCAACAGCATCCGAACTACGATGGACCAAAATGGACCAACATTTTTGGGAATTTATATTTTTGAGATAAATTCTCGGAAATGCCAAAAGAAATATCCCAAAATCCTTACAAAAAATTTATGAGGCACTGTTTGATAGGACCAACAGCATCCGAGCTGCAATGGACCAAAGTGAACAAAAAATGTCGAAATTTTTAATTTTCGAGAAAAACCTTTGGAATTGAAGTAGAGTTATCTTCAGATAGTGCTCTACAAAAAAATGTATGAGGTACTTTTTAAATGGACCAACAGCATCCAAATAGACCAAAATGGACAAAAAAAATTCAAAATTTTAAATTTTTGAAAAAGAAACCTTTATTAATACGAGGAGAGTTATTCCCAGAAAGTGCTCTACAAAAAAATGTATGGGGTACTTTTTAAATGGACCAACAGCATCCGAGCTGCAATGGACCAAAAAATTTTGAAATTTTTAATTTTTAAGATAAAGTCTCGTGAACAGCGTGAGAGTTATCCCCAGAAAGTGCTCTACACAAATTTATGGATCACTTTTTGAATGGACCAACAGCATCCCAGCCACCATGGACCAAAGTGGACAAAAATTCTGTCTGATTAAAACGTACTTTTACCACTCATTAAAATATGTTTAATTGAATAAAATTGAATAGGTTTTGAAATTAATTCCGGTTTCCTATATAATTTCCACACAGTGCGATCTAATTATTTATAAAAAAGATAATTTTATATATTAAAGATTATATCCGATAAAATAGGAAATCAGTTAATCCTACGCGCAAATTTTTTTTTTTTACAAAAAAGAAATTCGATCTACAGCATTCCTTTCAACATAAATATATATATATATATATATATATATATATAAAAATTGTGACATGAGAAGAGGTGGAGAGGAGCATTGCTGACATTCGTGTATATAAACTATGCGTGAAGGTATGATGGGAGTGAGGAACTAAGAGACACGTGGGTTTCCCGATTGCAATGCAATGCTTATCGATTGAACGCCATGTGTGAAATAACTCAAATAACACATTCGTCGATATATAGCAAAAACATTCACCCCTCCCTCCTCTCATCTTTTTTTTCCACCCCCGGCCCTTGGAATACTTTCCCATATAAAATGCACTTCAACTCTCTGGACTGAAATATTTCAGGAAATATGGCCAGGGGAGACACCGATCATTTCATTGACGAATAAGTCGTTTTCATGCATAGTATATGAGATGTCGTGTATGCGCCACGAATCCGGAAGTTGGATGAGAAAGTCTTCTTCGTACTTCGGAGGGGGTTTTTTTTTTCTTCATCCTTTATCGGCACCATCTCACTATTTTTTTTGCCCCCCCCCCTCCTCTTTCGTCATACATGTATATGTAGTGTGAGAAGAACGTGGAAAACGAAAAAAGACGAATCGCCACCAATTTCCATGTTGGAATTAAAAGAGAGTTGTGTGTGTGTATATACGAGAGTAATCTTGAGCGGGAATTTTATGATCATCTAGGGCCATCGATGAGCCAACCTTTTGCCTTACAATATCAAGATTGTACTGATGCAAAAATGGACCACCCATAAAGTAGCGTAGAGACAATTTTCTGGATTCAAAGAAAAATATTTTATGTCTAGTCTTTTTTCAATTTTTTGTTTTTTTGTCAATTCGGTAGAATTAACTTTCTTTTATGTAGAAATTTTTTCCATTATTCCTTAAAAAGAAATATACATGGAAAAAAATATTTACCTGAAACAGCAAAAGGTTTCATTAAAATAGAAAAGGTTTTAATTGTTTCAGTTAAATATTTCACTATTATAATAAAATCTTTCGCTGCTACAGAAAAAAAAATTTTCCTAGGTATGTAATTATTAGGATAATTTAGACTATTCATTACGCATCTTTTCTTTCTTTTAGTTTTAATTATTTTTATTACATCTCTAATTCTTCATAATTTTCTCATTTTTCCTCTTAAATTAGATCAAAATGTTCCTTAAATGTTTGTAATTTCATTGTGTGAAAAAAATTGTTTTTTGAAATTCGTTAGTTAGTGCTGCCTCTGTTGAGAATGAGGCAAAACTTGTGAAGAATTTCCAATTATCGACCGAGTAACGTGGAGAACGTACCAAGTATCATTTGATGGTAAGAATTTACCGACATATTGTCGGTAACTTACCATTCGGTGAATTTTGAATTAAATTAAAAATTTTAAATAAAAACAAAGACAAAACGGTTGTATTAATTTTTCTTTTTCATTTATTTTTTTTTAGTAAAAGCACTTTCATTTTCAATAAAAAGTAAAACTATTTTAGATCTTATATCAGCATTTCTCAGTCGGTAATTTTTGAATAAAATTAGTTTTACCTGAACGGTCGATAAGTTTTCATATGCTAGTCATGTTGTCGCTATTAATCAGTAACAATTTATCATTTTCGGTTTATCGAACTTTTGACTGATGATACTTTCTTGTAGATGAGGCTTTTTATCTTAAACGATTCACTTGAAATTCAAAACCTATGAATGAAAAATTTGTTCTAAACTTATTTTTCACTTTCATTTGTTTTAAATAAAAAAAATTGTTTAATTCAGAGAAACTACTTGATTATTTATAGTTCCGAAAAAAATATCATAAAAATTACTACATACAGAAAATAAAATAATAAATAGAATTACAATTTGTAAAATTAAATTTTTATTTACTTTATATTTTGCTTTTACTTCTAACTTTGATAACTGCTCAAATTCAAAAATTTCGTAAAACACTGGAAAAAAATAAGAATTTCGTGGGGGGGTTTTTTTATTTTTTTTTTTTTTTGTGAAAAAAAAAGAACAATTATTATACAGCGTGAGAGAATGAATTTGTTATATATGGAATATATATATGTGAATTGTGTTCAGGCATATAAAAAAAAATAAAGGCAGAGAAAGTGCGCAATTATCATTGCAAACCACAAAATTCCGCATTGCCGTGCGCACAACAGTTTTGGTTGTAAATTTTAAAAGTAAATGACTGACGGAGGTGGCCTACCGGGCAATAATAATTCCAGTAGCGGGCAATTGCGTGCGAGAAATTACTTTGCAATTGGAACTGGCACGCAAGCTCGAAGGTGAGCGCGGCATCATTGGCCCACC